TTCCTCCTCAGCCTTCCAAGTAGCTGGAACTACAGGCGCGTGCTACCACGCCCGGCTAATTTTTTGATTTATTGTAGAGATGAGGTCTCACCAAGTTGTCCAGGTGGGTCTCGAACCCACGGGCTCAGGCAATCCTCTCGCCTCAGTCTCCCAAAGTACTGGAATTATAGGCATGAGCCACCGTACCCAGCCTCATATTCTTTCAAAATTCTTTACTGAACCTCGGTGCAGTGGCTCGTACTTGTAACTCATCACTTTGTGACGCAAGAGGATTGCTTGAGGTCAGGAATTCATGGTTATGGTGAGCTACGATCGCACCACTGCCCTCCAGCTTGCACAACAGAGTGAGACTGTCCAAAAAAAAAAAAAGTAAAAGAATACTGAGTGCCCTATATAATTTTGTTTATGTTGTGATATACAAGAGTCAATAAAGACAGATCTTGGTTCGATACTTACATTACTGCAATCAAGTAAACAAAATGATAAGTCTGGAGTACTTGCACAGGTTTGGAGTACTTGGACAAGATGCATGCGAGTTTGGTCACTATCAAGAAGATACCTTTCTTGGCCACCAGGGCCCTGAGGCAGGTGTAGAGCTTGAATTTTTGTGGATTACCCAGGCCATCAGCGTCGCCCTCTCAGCCCTACAGTAAATGAGCTTGCTGCGGAAGAACATATGCAAGTGGTGGTACGAAACTAAGTGGCTGCTGTTCCTGTGTGCTACAGGGGACCTCTAGCTTGGGGGTTGGCAGTTGCCTGAGAAGTGTCTTAAGAGAAACAGTAGAGCAGGGCTCAGTGGCTCAGCCTGTAATTGCGTGCCTTTGGGAGGCTGAGGTGAGTGGATTGCCTGAGCCCGCGGGTTTGAGACCTGCCTGGGCAACTTGGCGAGACCTCATATCTACAATAACTCAAAAATTAGACAGGCGTGGTAGCGGCGCCTGTAGTTCCAGCTACTTGGAAGGCTGAGGCGGAAGGATCACCGGAGCCCAGCGGGTCGAGGCTGCGGTGGCCGGGAGCGGCCACTGCACTCCAGTCTGTGCAACAGAGTGAAACTCCAACTCAAAAAAAAAACAAAAACAAAACAAAAAAATCAAATAAAATCTACAACATATAAATAGTTTAAAAGATTGACATACATAAAAAAAAAGAGAAACAGTAGAGAGATAAGGCAAGTGGTAATAGTTGGCACACTGGTTGAGGAAAACTAGAGGAAATGCCATTTGTGCCCAAAACTGAAAATGAAGAATTAACCTTGAGAAGGGCTGGGGGAATATACAGAGAACAGGAAAAAGTCCCGTGCCAAGACAAATCTGTCCAAAGCATAGAAGGATGAAAGTATGGTGACAGTGTCCTGAGATGAGGCTGGAGGGGTAGACGGAGCTAAATTTTGAAGATCTTCTAGGTTGTGGTAAAAATTGGTTATTCGAAGTATAATGGAAAGCCACTAGAGGGTATAAAGCAGTGTTATAGCATAATCTGAACTACATTAAAAACAAACGCTACAGTCTAGTATATGGAAAATGAGTTATCCTTTAGATTTCTGAAAAACGTTCAAACGCAAATACCAAAAGATGATGGAGGAGGTTGTGTCCCCTTCTGTGAGTTATAAATAAATTCCTGAGGTAAATTAAAAGCAGTCCCAGAAAATTAGTCGTGTCCTTTTCGTTGCAGACCTACCCTCTGCTTTCTCAAGAGAAATTCAAACTTTATTTCAGCATTCGGTCCTGAATTTAATAATTCCTTTTTCTTACCCCGGGTGTTCAGGGGTTTATTGGGGGCTGGGAGGCCCTAGAAGAAGGTGGTGAAGCGCGGCTTGTGCTAGCGATGCAGGACTCGGTGGACAAGCGGGAACTTGATCTTGGAGTCGTGGAACTGCTTGACTGCCGGCCGGCGGCACTTGCTGGCAGCAATCTCCTCCGCCTTCAAGACCTGGATGGAGTGGCAGCGCTGCCGGGCGCCCATGTCTCGGCAGCACTGGGTGATGTCGCCGGCGGTGATCAGGTCGCCCTACTCGCGGTACATGTTGTGGGTGCCGCTGCACGAGTCGTGGCACAGCCAAATGCTGAAGTTTTTCACCCGCAGAGGGGACTTCTCGAACACCTGCCTGCTGTAGAAGGGCTTTTTCATCTTCTTCAGTTGGGACACAAATTATCAGAAGCGAGACTTGGCGACCGACCACGTGGTTTGGGGCGAAAATGAGCCTGCGGTAGAGCAGGGGACGTGTGGCACCCGGGGGTGGGCAGGGAGCGCTCCGTTACCTTGTACTCTCGCAGTGTGCCCGAAGCCTTCGCGCTCGCCGCCACCTGCAAAAAAAAGGGACAATGCTTAAAATTCCTGGAGATAAATGCGTGAACAAGGGTGGGATAAGTGCACCATCAAAAAGGATGTTCCTCAAATTCAGACTGGCCATTCCCACGCCCACCTTTTCCTTAAATTCCTTTGCATCCTGGAAGCCCAGGTCCGTTCAGCATGGCCTTTTAGAAAGCAGTAAAGATAGGCCAGTGCAGGCCACGAGATCCGCCAAGGCACTTCCCAAGCTAGCAGCCCAGTGTGGGTCTCATCTCAACCAACGACAGTGTCTTCAGGATTTGGAAGCCATCTGGAAACAACCTCCATAGGACGCCGTCGAAAACTGGCACCGCCCTAAGAACAGCAGGCGCGCCCTGGAGAGTTCTTTCCCCAGGGGTTGGTGGTGGGGTCTCCAAAACAGCCTGGGTCCTAAAATCAGTCCCAGGCCTAGAGCAGCGGAGGGAAATGAAACAGCACTCCGATATCCCCGTCTTGCACACTCCTGGGGCCCGTCCAGAATGCCTAACAGCAACATTTCAGTGACGTGACCGACACCACCCAGCCAGCCAGCTCAGGCCCATTGGATGGTCCAGCGCTTGGCAATGCGCCTGCGCCGGGGCGGCTGAGGGGCGGAGCTTGCGTGCGGACGCAGGTCGTGCGTGAAGCGTGCGTGGGGCGTGCGGGGCGGGCGACGCACGCGGTGTAACCGTCGCCGGGCTTCGCGCCTCGACTGTCGTTGGTGTATCCTTCTGATGTGGCTTTTGTGCCTTCCTTACAGGTGGTGCCTGGCTCTTTTGGGTCATCTCGGCTGAGTTGCGTCAAGCAGGCATCTGTGATCTTCTGGTACTGGGGTGAAAGTGGCGGCCGGGGGTGGGGGGAAACCAAAAGGCCTGTTGGTGCTCCAGTTCCCACCGTGGCTGGATAGGCTGGTCCTTGCTTTACCTTCCCTCACCCTTTGGCCAAGACGTTCTTTCTTTGGCTTTCCCTCACCCCCGGCTCTAGCATTCTGCAGCCTACAACCAAGAGGTAGTTAGATGCTGAGGTGGGGTTTACACGTCGTAGCTGTGAGTGATTAATTTAAGGAGTCAGATTCCTCTGAAATCGAGTTATCCCTGCCAGGTTCACCAAATGGCGACGGTCAAGGAGCAGCTTATTGAGAATTTGGCTGCGGAAGATAAAGACTCTCAGTGTAAAATCACCATTGTTGGAGTTGGTGCTGTAGGCATGGCTTGTGCCATTAGTATCTTATTGAAGGTAAGTGAGAAGTTCATCCTGTGGTTGAAAAGCAAGTGAGTGCTTTTTTTAAGAGATGGGGTCTCACTGTGTTGTCCAGGCTGGTCTTGAACTCCTGGCCTCAAGAGATCCTTCCTTCTCATCTTCCCAAAGTGCTTGGATTACAGGTGTGAGGCAACACACTCAGCTGACTGTGTCCATTTGTTTTGTTTTGTTTTTTGAGTCGGAGTCTCACTCCATCACCCAGGCTGGAGTGAAGTAGCACACTCACGGCCACCACAGCATCGAACTACTGGGCCTCAGCCATCCTCCCACCTCAGCCTTCCAAGTAGTTGGAACTATGGCACGTGCTACCAGGCATGGCTAATTTTTTGATTTATTGTAGAGAGGAACTCTCACCAAGTTGCTCAGGCTGGTCCAGAACCCTTGGGCTCAGGCAGTCCTCTCACCTTTGCATTCCAAAGTGCTGGAATTACAGGTGTGAGCCACTACACCTGGCTCCATTGAGCTTATGACAGATATCGCATTAAATCTGTAGATAGCTTTGGGTGGGTAGTATTGACATTTTAACAATATTAAGTCTCCTAATCCACGAACATGAGAATGTCTTTTTATTTATGTCTTTAACTTGTTTGAGCAATGTTTTGTAGTTTTCAGTGTATAAGACTTTTGCCTCTTGAAATCTTTTAAGGATACTATTTAATCTTCACAACAGCCTAAAGAGGTTGGTAGTGCTATCATTTCTATTTGTAAATAAGAATATTGAAGCACAGATGTTAAATAACTTGCTCATGATCAAATGGCTAGTAGGTGGGGGAGCAAGGATTCAAACCTTGGCAATCTGAACACAGGTCCTGTGCTGTTAATAAATGCTTTATTATATTATTTAGACGCTTTTTGGAAACCTCCAAAGGGAGATGACAAGAAGCAGGAAAGCTGGTTCTAGAATCCCAGAAAGGCTTATAAATTGGAAGTGCCAGGTGCCTCACAAGATGGAGTTAAGGGATGGGGCTAAAAGCAGGAGGGTTGTTTAAAAGTTTATGTGAGGAGAAGGGAAAACGCCAGATTCTCTTCTGTACTTTAATCAACCACATCCCACAGCAGCTAAGGGGGAAGGAGTTTATTCTTTGGAGAAATTGAATCAGACAAGTTTTGAACTCAAGACACCAAGGACAGTAGATGACAGGGATCTTACTGAAAGCAGTAGAGTTAAGTGAAAGTCTACATGTTGGAGTGAGGTATGAATCTTCTTACTCACTCTGGGTTACTAGAAAACAAAGATGGACTATAGAAGAGAAAGGAGGTGAAGTTAGAGAATCAATCAGGAGGTCTAGTAGGTGATTAATGTTTCAGTAAGAAACAAGAACATTATTAAAAAGATAAGCAAAAATGTGAAACTGAAGGATATGGATTTGTAGCTGTAACACAGTTGGCTGGGCAAGGTGACTCACACCTGTAATTCCAGCACTTTGGGAGGTGGAGGCAAGAGGATTGCCTAAGCTCAGGGGTTTGAGACCAGCCTGGGCAACTTGGCAAGACCTATGTCTACTAAAAAAAAAAAAAATTAGCCATGTTTGGTGGTGCACACCTGTAGTCTAGTTCCAGCTACTTGGAAGCTTGAGGCAGAAGGATTGTCTGATCCTAGTATGCTGGGGCTGTGGTACCCATGAGCACACCACTGCACTCCAGCCTGGGTGACAAAGTGAGACTCATAGACTGAAAAAAAAAAAAAAAACCCAAGAAAACCCCAAACCACTAAGGGGCTTCAAGATGGCTGATTAGATATATCTGATACTTGCCAGTTCTCTAGAGGAGCCAAAATTACAAGGAGATAATCACACTTCTAAGACATCATCTAAGAGGGAACACTGGAATTCAACAAAGAAGTGGTGAAAAGCACCAAAAGCAAGGAGGGAGAGGGAAAGCCAGGTCTTCTCAGCTGGGTTCAGCAGGGAGCTTGGAGAAGCTCCCTAATGCAAGGAGAGGGTAATTGAGAGCTCCCTTCCCCCTTCAGTGGTCCACATTCCTGTAGTGAACTCCTATAATTCTAGCCATGGAAGAGCCCCTTGATCCACACAGGCCCTGAAACTAATATAGGAAACTGCCTGGAGACTGAGCAATGGCATTACTCCAGGGAGGGAGCTCGTACTAAGTCGCACAAACCCTCAAGTCCTAAGCATATGTAGCGTGTGCCTTTTTGAGAGTCCAGCCCCCACCAGATTGTGTCCTGTCCTGGGGCCCCAGAGTCCCTGCATGTCCACATCCCTGGGACCCTATTGACACTCCCCATCTGCAGCTGCTGCTACTAGCAGTGATCCTCCACCCCTCCCAGCAGAGGGGTGGCTATGCATTTTTATGTGCCACAAGGGTAAATTCCACTGTCTGCAACTGCCCTTGGCTGCAGGCTGCTGTGAGTAGGCCAAGGTACTAGTGAATCTTGCACTCTCTAGCCACCTCTCCCACTGAAAGCAGCCTCAACCTTCCCAGTAGTAGGGTTGTAGTACAGCTGCTGCTGTCCCCAACTAAGCATTCTGCCAGCAGTCTGGGGATCACTCTGCCCAAACCAACCACAACCAGTGCCTGCACATACCACCAGGGTCCCTGAGAGCAGAACTGCTTGGCTTGACTCCTAGGACCTGAGCATGCCATCAAAGCACCTGCGGATCACCCAGCACAGTCTACCACCATTTACACCTGAGAATTCCTTTGAGATCTGAAGTTGGAGTAACCCAACCTGACACTACCACCACCACTGGCGCTTTCTTGCACATACCACTTGGGCAATTGCAGCCATCACCAACACCAGCGTAGGCCACTTGGGTGCCAGAGTGTTGTACCACCACTGATACTACCAACACTCATTCCATGCCCATCCAACTGACTGCTACCATTCCTGGCACTCAGACCAATTTGAGACCCAAAAATTGACCTGCCTGTACTAACACCAGTGCTGGCATATGTCATCCTGTGGTGTGGGGGGCCAGCCCCTGCAAGTTTTGGGGAGTCCCTTGGAAGATGTGGTGGCGTCGGCGAATCTGTAGGGATAGATATTAAAAGAAAGAAAGATGGAAGGATAGATATAAAGAGGAAGAAAGAGAAAGAAAGAAAGTGGACAACTGTTCAGTGAAATGAGCAGAAGCCGTTTATTGAAAGTTACAGCAGGTATTTATCCCCAAATTGTAGACAGGCAGTCTCACAAGTCTTTCATGTGAACACAAAGCCAGGTGCGGGGGGGCATCCCCTACCCACCAGATGCTTAGGTGTGAGGAGGAACAAACCCCAAGATCCTCTCATTGTTCCCTTTGCTAGTTAATGTTCTTCAAAAGCAGTGTAACAATCCTTACTAGTCTAATGATGTTCTGATAATCAATAACTTCTAAAGCTCACTCAATACCCATGACGACTAAATTAAACTCTACCACTTATACAATGCTACGGAAGCTCTTAATTATAGCTTAAGCCAATTTCCTAAAGAAATGTGGCCCAGTCCAAAGATCACACTGGGCCCTACAGGATGTGGCCCAGTCCAAGGTCCACGGTGGGCCACCTTTTGGAATAATAGACTACAATCTCTTAACAAAATGGCTATTCCAAAGTCTTATATGTCTATCCTAATTTCTATGAAAGTTTTTCAATTCTTAATTCTAATATATAAAGTTGATTAGCAGCAGCAAAGCTTCTAAAACCTAAATGTAAATTGTAAATGTACTAAGGCAAAAACTTCGATAGTAGAAAGTGGAGACGATGAAAATTCTTAAAGTTAACTATATTCTAATTAAACCTAAAAATATTATGATTGATTATGTATGAACTAACATGATTCGTAGCATGACCTATTCTACAATACCTTCTATGAATAAAATAAATTCAATTTCTATAATAGGTAGAAAAGAGACCTGACACTAACTGTAGCTAAAGCTGGCCTAAAAGAATGCAGCCCAGTCCAAAGTACGTGCTGGGCTCTCAGGAATGTGGCCCAGCCCAAACTCTGTGCTGGGCAACTCTTGACAATCATCTATACCATTGAAAAGCTGAAAACAGCTCTCCATAAGTATATACTAATTCTACAAATATTCTTTTAAATCTTATAAAGAAGCTTGTACCGTATAAAAGGCTCCCAAATGTGACCTGAGTTTGAATTATATCTAATACCTATGCCTAAACCGCAGTTTATGGGAAACAGGAACAATGGGTTTCTAGAGTGAGCCATGCCTGTCACAGTCACAGAGCCTTCAGCTTAGGCCAGCAGAGTTCCTTTAGGTTATTTGTGCTGCATGGCAAAAGGGGGAGGAAAATGGGGTCTACGGCTCCCGAACACGTCCTAGCAGTCTCGAGGTCCACGGCCCTCCCTGATCCCTAACGCTCAGTGGGCCTCCATGGCCGGCTCCCAACACTGGTGGCCCAAGGATAGTCATGCTCAGCCCACTGTTGTCACCACTGAGGCCTGAAGAGTAGACCACCTGGTGTCTCAGTCCCCAGCAAAACTTCATCATAGCCTCCATTACCACATGCTAAGCCACTGAAGAAATTACAGGCACCACTGACACTGTTTACAGCTAAACAAAACAAAACAAAACTATAGAGACTATACTACTGCATACACCCAAAATCAAAGCCAAAGTACTCTACCGAACCAACACCGTAAGTATATCCTCAGGAAAAAGTTATCCCTTATGAAAGCAGATTTAAAAAGTTGGAAGAAGCAGCTGTTAAACCAGATGTGCACATATCAACATAAAGATTCAAGAAACATGAAAAAGCACTCTGAGCCGGGCTCGGTGGCTCAGCCTGTAATCCTGCGCCTTTGGGAAGCTGAGGTGAGTGGATTGCCTGAGCCCGTGGGTTTGAGACCCACCTGGGTAGGCGAGACCTCATCTCTACAATAAATCAAAAAATTAGCCGGGCGTGGTAGCGCACGCCTGTAATTCCGGCTACTCGGAAGGCTGAGGCGGAAGGATCGCTGGAGCCCAGCAGGTCGAGTCTGCGGTGGCTGGGAGCGGCCACTGTACTCCAGTCTGGGT